TGCTTTGTTAATTTTTCAGATTTAACAAAGTAATTCTGCCCACTCACTTCATTAAAAGTCATGTGTCGCATACCAAAATCAGATAGCAAAAACCACATCTGTCACCTTTTCAATTAGGTGTAGAACGTGACTGGATCTTATGAATGGAAAATGAGTACAAGTTAATGTCACTCGATGGACATTATGCTTAATTAAGTAGATATTTCTGTTCATTTCCACCCCATTAGAAATTTAAAAGCCATGAATCAAGTCTGTTGAAATGGCAGAATGGAAATTTTTTTGTCCCTGAGACAAATGCAGAGGGAAGATTTCCATGAAAGACATGAGGCAGATTTATTCTTCTCGTACTTTCTGTCAGTAAATGTGTTTGAAAGATTTTTTTTGCTTAATACAGAACCCATTACTGCAGCACTTTTAAATAACACTAAACTTTTTATTAGGATGTATGTGCTACCATACAAAATATTCTAAAACATGTCAGTTACTGTGTAGTTGGAATAAGCTTAGCAAAGGGACAACATTTTTAAATTTGATTTTAAAAATTAATGTTTATGGTACACACTGTTTATGATCATTTTGGAGGATATTTACATATATGTACATACCATAGTTTTTTTTCTTTTCTAAATTAATATTTTAGTTTATTGGTACATGTATATAATCCATACCACTTACATTTCCTTGTGGGAACTTGGGACATGGGCATAACACATCTTAACTCTTTCTTCATCCCTTTTCACTCCCTCTCTATTTCCCCTCCTCCTTCTACCTACTGAAAACCTTCCCATTTGAAAAGCACGTATCTCCCTACTTCTTATTATCTATTATTTTGCCCTTTATTTTTACTCTGTGCTTCTTAATTAAGAGAAGCCATGCAGTATTTAATCTCATGTTTCTGATTTATTGCACTTAATGTATGGTCTCAAGGTGGCTCCATTTCCCCACAAATCACTCATCTATGTTCTTGATGGCACAGTATATTTCCAAGATGTGTAAATTCTAAATTTTCTTTATCCATTCATATGTTGATGGGCATGAGAGCCCCTTCCAAGATTTAGCCATTGCAAATTTTGCTGCTATATCCTGGGAATGAATCTATCTCTATGATACGACATATTTAAATCCTTTGGGAAGATACTTAGAAGGAATGGATGGGTCAAATAAGATTTCTAGTTTTAGGTTTTTTGATGTTTTTCTTTTATTTTAGGGAAGGGT